AAGTGACAAAGAACAACAAAGATTGCGGCCATCCCCCCCCAGCACGATCACGGCCATCTCCCCCCACCAAGCATGACTGCTGTGCAGGGAAGACCGGCACAATCGCGATCGTCACCCAATGCAGAGTTCTGAGGCAATTTTTTTCTGAAATTTTTGTTCGTGACCCGATTTGGTGATGAACTGAGGTGTTTGTGAGTCGAGGAACCACTGTACTGACCCTCCAACTACCACTCTACTTCCTGAGGTAGAGAAGGCAGGCATCTTCCACATACTTTCAAACCAAACTTTGCTGTTAAATTAATTTGATTTGAAACAAAATTAGAAATTCCCACAAATTATATGCCTTTTCTGTATTCATCTAGAACTGCAGAACAACACTGTAAGGTCTACAGCACAATTTCTCATTCAGTGTTCAAACAAGCTGAAAATAAAACTAACAGAGTCCTAAATAAGTATCAGTAGTAAATTATAGCCTACAAATAATGTGGGGTTATCCCCAGGCAGTCACTAGCAAGGTTCTTGCCACAAGTGAAATAAACCCAGCCAAGGAACTCTGTTGACTACCTTTAAGGCTATACAACCATGCCAAAAATTTCAGATCATTCTTACTTTTCTATCATGCCCAACAGGGACAAAAACAGCCATTTTTAGGAATATCAAATGCACAGTCTTTCCAGCCACAGGAACAAAATCTAATCACTACAGTCCTATAGTACTCTGCTCAGTTACCCAGACTGACTGCTAGTCAAAGTTATGAGCTTAGGATATGAAATTATGAGCTGATTTGAGCTGAAAGCTATGAGCTGATTTGAGGATATGAAGCCATCGAAAACATGATCCTACATCTCAACTCCATGCCTTCTTTCAGAAATGACAGCTTCACCAGTGGCTATCATTTACACACTCATTCTTTGGTTTTCGTCTGAATACAAGGAATAAATTATGCAAAGCTAATTACTTATCCAGTGATAACCAATGCCATCCATACTAACATTTCCACAAGAATAAGCTCATTCTGAAAAAAAATAATGTACTTCTAAATGCTGTATTCTGCTCCCCAATTACTATGACACAAATAATCCAAGAAACAAAAAAGCAAATAGCTCAAGATTCCCAATATTCCAAAGATTTTACGATTATGTGTACCAAAACTATTTTTCTACTCTGCACATAAATAACTTGCTATTTCATTTGTAAGCACAGAAAGGGAGAGTTTGCATGGCACCGACATGCATGCGGGGGCACCCACCATTTTGAGCTGTCATGCTGTATGAATCTGGTGATGTGGGTTATGTGAAGATAAAAGATAAAAGAACCCTGGTCTATTTTAGGGTTATGTGAGCCTGCCTTAACCCCCAAATAACCCACATGAAATGACAATACCAAGTGTGGGCTGTTTATTCAATTTGGTGTCTGTAGACACCATGGCTCCCCATGGGTTAAACAACCCATGGTGAACCACAAAGTGTCACCTGGACCCAGTTCTCAGTTTACGTAGCTATGCTACCACAAGTATTTTTCATATGACACTTTGGCCTGAGAAAGCACAGATAGACAATTAACACAGGGTCTTCCTAATCTGGAAAATGTGTTGTACAATTCTCACTTGGCATTCTAGTAACCACAGAACTCCAGCTATAACAGCCAAGAGCTAGATATAAGAACAGTGAAAACTTAAGATGTTCAGATCTTTACTCTGTTAGACTGGGGTTTGCATTATTTGTTGAACCATTGTTCCTGGTCTCCTATAATGTTAAGCAGAAGCCTAAAAATCTAACTCTCAAGGCCAAACTAATGTCTGGAAAGTTCTGCTTGGTTTTCCATTTTAGGGTGACTTTTATTTCCTTTGTTTGTAGCTCAACATAGATTTTGCAAAGCCTCTGCTAGAGTTATAGGAAAAGGGCCTTCTTTGTTGTTGCACCTCACCTTTGGAATTCCCTTCTAAGGGAGACATGACTGGCACTCACTTTACCTTGCTTTCAGTGCCAAGTTAAGACTTTTAGTTTCTGTTTTTAGCTTATGACTATGGATCTTGCAACTTGTCTATTGTTTTATTGGTTATACTGTGTTTATTCCTCCTGTTGTATTTATATTCTGTATTACTGTTTATGATTGCACTCTCAGCCGCCCAGAGAAATGCAATCAAAAAACAGTTATTTCAAATGCTTGATGGGAGATGTTTTAACCTATTTGGAGCACTTCAGGAAAAGTGTATGACAAAGCTGGACAAAATACAGGAATATCAATATCTTTCAGCTTTCATTGATACAGCTTGCTCATAATAGAAAAATAGAAGAATTGGAAGGGGCCTATAGAGGCCACCAAGTCCAACTCCATGCTCAGTGTAGGACTCCAAGTTAAAGCATCAGTGATAGATGGCTGTCCAACTGTTTCCTGAATTCCTCCAGTGTGGGAGAGACCACAAGCTCAGTAAGTAATTGGTTCCACTGGTGTAGTGCTCTACCAGTCAAGAAGTTCTTCCTGATGTCCAGCTGGAATCTGGCTTCCTGTAACTTAAGCCCATTATTCCATGCCCTGCACTCCAGAATGACTGACAAGAGATCCTGGCCCTCCTCTGTATGTCAGCATTTCAAGTATTTCAAAAATGCTATCATATCTCTCTTCAGTCTTCTCTTCCCAAAGCTAAACATGCCCAGTTCTTTCAATCTTTCCTTATAGGGCTTTGTTTCCAGTCCCCTTATCATCTTTGTTGCCCTCCAGTTTATCTACAACTTTAAGTGTGGCACCCAGAATAGAACACAATATACAAGACGGGGTTGATTTCAAATCACTTGATTTGGAAGTCATACATTAATGCTGCTCAATATAGCATTTGCTTCTTTTTTCAGCCACATCACATTGTTGATTCATATTCAGCTTGTGATCTACAACAATTCTAAGATCCTTCTCAATTGCAGTATTGTTGAACCAAGTATCTCCCATTTTGTAACTGTATTTGGTTCCCCTTTCCTAGGTCTAGATTTGGCATTTGTCCCTGTTGAATTTCATTCTGTTGTTTTTAGCCCAGTGCTCCAACCTATCCAGCCACTTTGAATCACTTTGTTTCTGTCTTCCAGGGTATTAGCTATCCTATTCAGTTTTATGTCATCTGCAAATCTGCTAAGCATCCCTTCATTTCTTTGTGCAAGGCATTAATAAATATGTGGAAGAGCACTGGTCCCATGACTAAGTCCTGCAGGACCCCACTCATTACCTCTACTCAGCCTGAGAAGGTACCTTTGAGAAGCATTCTCTGAGTCTGATTCTGTAGGCAACTATGGATCTACTTGATAGCTTATTCCATCCAGCCCACTTTTAGCTGGTTTGCTGATCAGAATGCCACGGGGCACTTGCTGAAATCAAGAGGTCCTGTTGGTAGGTGGTTCAGGTATTCAGGTAAGTGATGGCCCTGTCCTGGATGGTGTTGCACCTCCTCTAAAGGACAGGGTTCGCAGCTTGGGAGTGCTCCTCAACCCAGAACTGTCCCTGGAGGCCCAGGGGATGGTGGTGGTGAGAAGCGCTTTCCTTCAGCTTCAGCTGATCCATCAGCTGAGTCCTTACCTGGACGAGCACCATCTAGCAACAGTGACACATGCCCTGGTAACTTCCCGATTCGATTATTGTAATGCCCTCTATGTGGGGCTGCCCTTGAAAATGGTCTGGATACTTCAATTGGTCTAAAATAGAGCAGCCAGATTGCTGACGAGGACCAGTCATTATTCTCATATAACGCTGGTCCTCTACCAGCTTCACTGACTTCCGATTGAAGTCCAGGCCCAATTTAAGGTGGTGGTGTTAACCTATAAAGCCCTAAACGGCTTGGGACCAGGATATCTGAAAGAACGTGAGGGTTCCCTATGAGCCCTCACACCCCTTAAAATCAGCAGGAGAGGCTGTACTCTGGGAACCTTCACTGAAAGAAGTGAGGATGGTCTCTACCCAGAGGAAGGCATTTTCTGCTGTGGCACCCAGACTATGGAATGCGCTCTCCAGAGAGGTTCGCCTGGCACTGACTTTATATTCCTTTTGGCGCCAAACCTTTTTATTTGCTCATCATTTTAATTGTTAGGAATTTTAATCAGGTTTTAATTTCACAGTTGTTGTTGTTTTTTTTGGTTATGGTTTTGGTTTGTTTTTTATTTTTTGTTTTTCTTTAATTTTTGAATTGTTATTGGGTTTTGTGTGTATATTTAATTATTGTTAACTTGTTAAATCATCTGTTTTTGATTTCTGTAAGCCCCCCGAGACACTTTTGGGTATAGGGCAGGGTATAAATATTTTAAATAAATAAATAAATTTATCCCCAGCATTCCTGCAGTCCTATACCTAGTCCTAGTTAATGGGTTTATTGAGATCAGATTAGTCTGGCAATCTTGTTTTTAAGTCAAATGGCTAGTAATAATGGCAGCTACAACTTGAGGTAGCCAGATATTCAGATAAATCAAATTTGTGAAAATTCTCATATAAGATAATACTAGGTTTGGAGTTTCCAAGCTATACTTCACCAAGACAAACGTTAAGTTAGATTTCAATATAAGAATTGGGAATTCCCAATGCAATCATTTGAGAGTTTTAAAGACACAGAAGGAGCACAGCTTAAGTCAGATATATTGATTTGTTATAAAAGTTGAATTCAATCTGGAACATTTTGAAGTTATACACAGAAGCAGCTATTTTGAAACCAAACTTCTCTTCATCCTACACAGACCAGGTGTCTTTCTGATTTTATGACAAGCTATTCATATCCAAATGCTGGATACTAGAAAAATTGTTACATAAATTAGTACTGCCTCATTTTGCAGAACTGGAATTTGGCATAGAGCGGTAGATGTGCAAACAAGGAAATAATTATTTAAAGTATTGGAATACAAAATTCCTCCATGTGGCATCATTTGTACTTTGGTTAAACAAGCACAAAAGGCTAGAGGAAAAGAGGTAATAAATAGGATGAAACAAAGTGCAAAAAGATGGTAAAACCACCCTGTGTAGTCATACGGTACCTGGGAGCTGAATCTGTGAACATCATCAGAGGCACTGACTAGATCAATAGAAGACATGGAGGAAGAGCGACTATAGGGCTAATAGAGACAGACAAAGAAAAAACCAAGTAATCAGAACAAAGGCACAACAGAGCTTTCAGTACCAACTTCCAAGCACAAGATAATGAAGAAAAGGAAAAACAAAAGCACGATAAGCAGCGAGTACAGCAGCAAATGCTGACTTCATGCACCTATTATGTATTATGCTCTCAGAATTGCCTTGTAAAGAATTCATTCTCAGTAATGCTCAATGTTGCCGGCTAGGCCCGATATACAAGATGTATTCAACCATTCAAAATACAGACTCTGTAACAGCGCGCAAAGGCTTGTAGAATTCTGGAAAATAAAACTTTTCTATTAAGTTGTGATTTTTTTGGCTTAATTTCACAGTAAAAACACTTAACCACATTAACGTTTCAAGGTCATCAGTGTAATGAAAAGAAGATTTCTTCCCTTAATGTAAAAAGCAAGTTGAATTGCTTCATTCACACCCACTAGGAACCTCCACAGATTATATCACAACAGATTGGTTATCTTAGAGATGTTAGAAAAATGATTCCACTTCAAGACTGGCCCAGAAAGCATCTTACCTTTTGAACAAATCTATGTGTCCCTGCACCAGCAAATGCATCACCAGGTGGCAGTGATGATGGCCAGTGTAATCTGACCTTTTCACTCTGGGACTAAAACAAACAAAGACACATTTATTAGTCTGCAATTCTGTATGTAGCATGAATATATCATCAAAAATGCTAAAAACAATTATCTATGGAAAGCACAACATGGCGCTTCAGTCTGTAAGTTAAGAATGCAAGGCCCTAAACGTAACAGATGCACTGTACAGACAGTAATTGTCTTCTATTTTAGTACAAGCTTTTTTGTGGGGTGCAGGGGGGGCATTTACAAAGCAGAAAAATTACAATGTAGAGGCCTGTGTTTATTGTATTCATAGAGATATCACGATTCTAGAACTTTTACATTTCTACTACACTGCACAATGCTACTTATAAAAATATGTTACACAGAAAAATGGAGTATAATATATAATGAATAGTAAAACATTGTTTTTTAACCCATATACAATTGTACATTTGTACAGTGCTTACTATGAGTAAGTTTACACAACTCAGCAACCCACCTTGCAAATATGCTGCACAATGTATGCCTAAGAGGTGATTACCATGGACTGTTCTTCCCCTCCCATCCATTCCTCCAGCTGGTATCTCAGGGTCTTGCACAGCAGAACCTGTCTTGTTTCCCCTAACTTGCTCCAAATGTGGCCCCTTTCCCTTCGTTTTTTTTCACCTGGAGTCCTGTGCCATCACCCATGACAAACATTCCATCAAAATCCAAGCAGCACTTCAGAGTAAGTATCACAGACTCCTTATCCTCTTTTAAAATTATTTTTGAGGATAGAAAAAATGTATACATTAAAAATGCTGTTCATTATCAGATGCGTGGCTTTCAAAGACCAGAATGTGCAGTAGCGCCTTGCCAATGCCCTGGTAAAGTGTCCAGAGAGCTTCGGCTATCAGATGGTGTAAAAACATGACTCAAAAACAATGCTCTCAAAGTGGAATAGACAACATCCCTGGAAATTGATCAAGTAAGGCTGCACGTAGCTTGTTCTGTGCAAACCTGTCAGCTGGCAAGTGAAAAGCAAAGCAGCGAAGGGTCCCCTGCACCCCATGTAGTGGTGAGCATATTTTCCTCATTCAGAAGTGATAATCTAGGGGGGTTTCCCCCAAGTTTTGATTGTCCCCTTCACCTTTCCAACACCTCTCTTAGTCTCTAGATACTCCAGAAAGGGGAGATCTGCATTCCCTTTTTGTGAGCATTCTTCTTTTGAAGTGTCAAAAGGCAAGATTCTTTTCTTTCAACTTATCTAGCAAATTGGAACACACTTTGGGGGGCAGAGATATAAAAGCAAAATAAAGTGTTACAAGAACCCAAACAGTGTGTTCTTAAAGGGGTCTTTAGGGTCTGCACTAAATTGCATGCATACACGTAATTACCTGTTCTTCTATTTTATCTTGCCTATCAAGAGCAGCTTCAACAGCATCAAAGAACTCTTCTTCATTAATCAGACTGTTAGGACCTTCCTATAAGCAAAGATCAGTGAAAAATAGGTCAATATATACAAAACTGAATTTGTGAAATAGTTTATCAAATGTATGCCTAGTTCATCATCCCTGTTTCATTATTTGAAATACATTGCAGTATAGATTCTACAAAAGCTGTGCTTAATAAAGTAAATTGACATTTATTTATGTATTTTTTCTGTACTGGCCAATAGCTCAAGCTCTCCAAGCAGTTCACAACAATTTATCAAATATAAAAAATACAATAAAATACAGATACAATGATTGCAGCAAATTTCTTCAGACTTTTTACTTGTTATGATTATATTATAGTAAGGTGGTGAGAATATGAGACTCTACAGGCTAGATGGCTTGGGAGGCTCCTTCTGACTCACTCTCTTTCCATGTTTTTACAACTCTTGCAGTAAAAATAGTTCAAGACTGAATCAAATTCATATAGTTAAGCAGGGGCACTACCAAACTGAGAAACAAAACTGCACCCCGATTGCCATCAGCAATTTTAAAAATAGAAATTCTACCAGTATAGAATAAAGAGAAATGAACTGTATATTATAGAGGCACTGGAAGTAGAAAATAACCATGTAACTAAATATTACATGCAAAACAGTACAAGGTAGTGGTGGTTTAGAAACTGAGACCCAGAATTCCTGCTTCTCTATTATATCTAGATGTATATTATGCATGCAGCATGGAAAAATAGCATAGCAGTCTTAAAAATAAATACTAACAGAGGGTATGATCCAGCCAAAGTTAAAATAAGACCCATTGATTTCAAGCAGATATTTGAGCATATGATTACATTTCCTCCACTGAAATCAATGGTAATGAAAAGTACTCAGTCTTGGCTGGGTTGTGCCATCTTCTATTTTTCAGTATGGTGAACTTTTACTTCCTTGAGCAGGGTTGGGCAATTGCTCCAGATGGTCTGGGCTATAATTCCCTTCATTGCTCACCAGTGAACATGCTCACTGGGGTTAATAAGAGCTATAAACCAGAATGTTTGAAAATATACTGACATTCCAAACCAGTGTTACCAAAACATCAGATTGCATATCCATGGTTTGGAGCATCTATGTGCAATTCATGCCACTACCCTTGCCTACCCTATATTGTTATTGTTTATGTATTTTTTTTTGTATTTTTTGTGAGCCGCCCCAAGGCTTTGTTGCGATGGAGGTGGCATAGAAATGTTTTAAATAAATAAATAAATAAATAAATAACAGCGAACAAAAATCATAAGCAGTATCAAACTCCTTGTATAAGTTTCCTAAGTGTCTTACAAAAAGAGACACAAACTCATGGCAGTTATTCAGGATTTTTCCTTGCATTATTTTATTTATTCCATTTTATGCCATCCAAAAGCCAAAATCATTTTTAATTTTTTGGGTTTGAGACCCAACAGAACAATCGTTACTGTTATCAAAAATGGGCATTTGCAGTTAAGCATTACCTAATCACAGTCAAAGCACAACTTCTGCCTATGCAGAATAGCTGAGTTATTCAAGATGCTTAAAAGTATTCTCTGAGCATTTCACTGCCTCTGTCTTAGAGAGCAATACACCTGAAAAGGAGGTGCCAATGACGCCATCGAGTCCTCAATTGATGGATGAATTTCAGTTGTTGCGGCCTGATGATGTGGACAAGGTGCTTGCACAAGTACGTCCTACCATCTGCTTACAAGACCCTTGCCCATCTTGGCTACTCAAGAATGCCAAGGACGGGATTGTGACCGGGATCCTGGAGGTGGTCAACGCCTCTTTAAGAGACGGCCGGGTACCTGCCCCTTTAAAGGAGGCGGCAGTCCGGCCAGTCCTAAAGAAGGCATCCCTGGATCCAGAGGTGGTCGCCAATTATAGACCGGTGGCCAACATCCTGTTCTTGGGCAAGGTGCTAGAGCGGGTGGTGGCGGGACAACTTCAGGCACTCTTGGATGAAACTGATTATCTGGACCCATTTCAGTCCGGCTTCAGACCTGGGTACGGTACTGAATCTGCCTTGGTCACCCTGTACGATGACCTGTGCAGGGAGAGAGACGGGGGAGTGCGTCCCTGTTGCTTCTCCTGGACCTCTCAGCGGCTTTCGATACCATCAACCATGGTATCCTTCTGGATAGGCTAGTGGGATTGGGAGTTGGAGGCACCGCTTTGTGGTGGTTCCGCTCCTATCTCAATGGCCAATTCCAGAAGGTAGTGCTGGGGGACTATGGCTCTGCGCCATGGCAGTTATGCCATGGCATTCCGCAGGGGTCCATTTTGTCCCCCTTGCTATTTAACATCTACATGAAACTGCTGGGAGAGGTCATCAGGAGGTGTGGGCTGCGGAATCATCAGTACGCTGATGATACCCAGCTCTACCTCTCATTTTCCACCAATCCAGGTGAGGCAGTGGCTGTACTGAACCGGTGCCTGGCCAAGGTAATGGGCTGGATGAGGGCCAATAAACTGAAGCGCAATCCAGACAAGACGGAGGTCCTGTTGGTGGGTGGTTCGGGCTTCGGGGCGGGGCACCTGGGCCTTGTCCTAAATGGGGTTGTACTCCCTCTGAGGGACAGGGTTCGCAGCTTGGAGTGCTCCTCAACCCTGAGCTGTCATTAGAAGCTCAGGTGACAGCGGTGGCAAGGAGTGCCTTCCTTCAGCTTCGGCTGATCCATCAGCTGCGTCCCTATCTGGAGAACGATTGCCTGGCGACAGTGACCCATGTGTCGGTAACTTCCCAACTAGACTTCTGTAACGCGCTCTACATGGGGCTACCCTTGAAGACGATCCGGATACTTCAATTGGTGCAAAATAGAGCTGCCAGGTTGCTGACGGGGACTGGGCGTTGTTCTCATATAACCCCAGTTCTCCGTCAGCTTCACTGGCTCCCTATTGAAGTCCGGGCCCAATTCAAGGTGTTCGTTATGACCTATAAAGCCCTTAACGGCTTGGGACCTGGTTATCTAAAGGAATGTCTGCATCCATATATGCCCTCCCACCCACTACGATTGGCAGCGGATGCCCTTCTCCGGGAACCCTCTGTGAAGGATATTAGGAGGGTGAGTACCCGGAGGAGGGCCTTCTCTGCGGTAGCGCCCCATCTATGGAATGCGCTCCCCAGAGAGGTCCACCTGGCACCATCATAATTTGCTTTTTGGCACCAGGCAAATACCTTTTTATTTAAAAGTTATTTTAACTGTTAATTTATTATTATTGTATTTATAGATTTTAATATATATAGCCGAGATGGTACCAGTTTTTAAATTATTAATTTTTTTTAATGAATGTGAGCCACCCCAAGGCTTTGTTGCGATGGGGCAGCATAGAAATGTTTTAAATAAACAAACAAATAAATAAATAAATGTAAGTGCCACCCAACTGCAGTTGAATTTCTACCAGCATGGTATAGTTTGACACCTCTCCCCTTCTGATATAGTATGAGAGGCAGCAACAGGAACTCTGGAGGTAACGCAAGCACATGCATAGAGCACTTAGGAAAACATTTGTTTTTTCCTATGTATAAATGGAGTATATATTCCAGATAATTAGAACAAAATGCAGATATAGGACAGACAATTTTAAGCACTTTTTTCTTCTCTGAGAATAATATCACAACTATGATCTCAAACATATATTTTCAGTATAAGATAAACAATGTCATATATAACAGTGAGAAAGAGGGTAGATGCCAAGAAAAGCATATGCCAAGAAACTGTGATGCTAAAATTATTAACGTATGAGAAAAGACTACATCTATTCCTTTGTTCATTTAAGGATTTCACATCTTTAGGTGGACAAAAATTTGCCTTTTGGGGCATATTTTTGGAGCTACAGACACATACATATTTTATGATGCAATATCACCACATGACTGGGACATAAATGGTTTACCTACATAGTACACAAATAATTCTAATGTGTACAACCCTAGCCTTTCCATTTCAAAATGTTTATAATTTATATTAATGTTCTTTTTCTTAAAAATGGTATGTTTTAGGTTATTGAAGTTTATTCTAAGGGTCACTGTTACATTTAATGAGACGTGAACAAGGATAAAGCAATGGAATACTCCCTTGTTACTTTCAACAATTAAAAGTAGGAGAAACATTTTAGAAAACATGCATTTAAGCTGATGTGCTTGAAGGTTATAAAGCCATAACCTTTTCTTGATCCTCAAAATCATGCTTCCATGTATTCATGATCCAAAGTAAATACTGCATAGATAAATATTAAATAACTAAACTGCACTGTCTGATACTTTCATATTTCCTTAAGGTTACTCTATTGGAAGATACATCATTCATGCATAGATTAGTAATGTTATTGCATACCAGTTCATACCTCATAGTCTGGCCCTCCAAAATGGGACTTTTTTTTAAGCTCTGTCATAGCATTCTTATATGCGTCTTCTATTCGCCTCCTTTTTTCACTTTCCTGTAAGAATACACACAGGGACAAAAGTTTACTCCTACCAAAACACACACTGAGTACTATTTGATAAGACCCTCATATGTTACTTATAATACCGCAGAATGCAGGGACACAGTGAACTACTACGATATTGTAAACACTAAGTGGAAATAAAGATTTTTCAGGATTAAAATGAGAAGAACAATTGGGTTTTAGCTTTTAAATACAATTAAATACAAAAACAGAAATGCAACCACAGTCATTTCCCAGTAAGAAAAGACCATCAGCTTTCCTTTAATGCAGCCATGAAATCTGGGTATGTCCCCATCAACAAACTGTTTAAAAGAAAGCCTTGCTTTTGGCACTTGTGAAAATTAAATGTTCTTGTGGAGTGGATTCTACTTTTTCACTTTCCTAGCAACTAGAATTTTGAGATAGGGTGGAAAAAAATAAAGGACATTGAAAACTATCAGATCCTACCTTAAAATAAAGAAAGTTTTCATTGCAAAGAGAATGTTCTACTCACCACACCTGTTCTCAACAGAGATCTTATAGTTTTGCTCTCACTTGACAGCTTGCAGTTTGACATCTGTCCCGTGAAAGCACTGAAATGCATTTGAAGTCTGGCTTTGTCAATGTCCACAGACTGTGCTTGCTTAAATAGCTGGTACTAGGACACTGACCAAGTAAGGATTCAAATTTCAGATATTCAGAGGTACATATATTTTTTGTGTGCCAGGTACAATTAAAAAAATAGGTTATGAACTAGTGATGGTCCCTCCAATGTGCTGTTCTGACTTTGGACATTACAAATAGTGATATTCCCCTGCCCTACCAAAAACAAAAAAGTGGGGGTAAAGGGAAGGATCACAAAAAGGATCATGATCGTAGCAGCTGAGAGTTACTCTTGAGCTAGCCTGGGTGAGCTCAATAAGACCAGCCACTTCCATGAAACTTCAGTGGGATCACTGTACTACAAGATCATGTGTCCAATAAACTCTAGAACAAGGCACGTGTTGTCAAAGTGGTAAAGCCATCTTGTAGAAAGTAGTCCAGGTTTGCACAGCTCAGCAACCCATCATGGCTAGTTACCCATGATGGATTGCTATGTTATGTAATCCTATAAATGAAGATACTGGTTATGAGAACTTGTCACAAGAGGCCATGAGCAGAGTACTAGTTACTACAGTTCTCTTCCTATGAACCCATTTTTGCTTACATGAAGGGGGACCCTGAAAACCCAGGAATTTATTTATAAAAAATTGTGTATTTATTTTTACATGTTCAAACTTCAGCCACTTTCAAAGTACTCTTCATCTGATGCAATACACCTATTGAGATATTTTTTCCACTGCTCAAAACAAGTTTTGAACTCGTTGATTTTTAGTGCTTCTGTTGTTTTGTTTCACCTCTTCCACATTGGCAAAACATTTCCCTTTAAGGACTTTTTTCATCCATGAAAACAAAAAAGAGTTGCACAGGATGAGATTAGGTGAATAGAGAGGGTAGGGCACAAGACAAGTCATGCCATTTTTGGTCAAAAACTGCTGCACACTCAGCTGAACAAAATTTTACTGCCACACTTTGTTTAAAGCAGCCATCACAAAATAGGCCAACACATTGAAAGAGTCTTCCCCTGCCCCCCAAAAAAACCCCCTCATGGAAGCAGCCTCTCACAACAACCCAGCTGGGTAGACTGATGCAGATGGGTTCCTAGCACACTCACCTAGCAGGGGAAGCCTGAACTAAATGGGGGCCACCCTCCAGAAGATATTCCTGTTTTCTTTGGGTCCTCCTTCATATTTGGCTCCCTTAAACTGATAAAATGACCATGACTTTAAAAAGCACCAAGAGCATGATTGTCCAGAACAAGGAAAATAGGTTATTTCGTGTAAGAATACTTTTTAGGTTACTATTCCAAGTCCAGAAAAACCTGTCAGGAAGGATCATGGTAGCAAAATTTACTATAATGTTACATATAATATAGCTGATTATCCAAGGATGTCCATAAAATTTGCAAAGAGAGATTTCAATAAATGGAAATAGTAGTTATACCAATTATATAAGAGAATTCTAAGGAGTCTGAATATAAGTTCTAGTCTACTTGTAAATCACTGAAATTCAAGTTTTCTTCTGTTGGTTTTTTCTCAAAGGCATTGTGCATGTGTGCTCATGTATGTACATTTGTACTCAATGGTAAATACTGAAGGTTTGTTACACTATTTAAATAAAGGTGGAGAAACATTTACAGGTCAACTGTTCAAAGTCCTCCAGCAGTTTATTCATATAGTAAATCCATATGTCAAGAACAAGTGTTCCTATTCCCTAATATATGCTGCCTAAAAGCATGCAAAAAAGGGGGAGAGGCTGCATGAGCATGTGGGACAGGGAGAAACAGCGCAACTGAAGAGGCCACCTTGCACAAGCTTCTTTTTGATGCGATCTGCAGTTAATAGCCATACAACCACATCCCACATGCAAGCAATAGAATCCACTTCACCATAGTATTACTATAGCATCAGCATAGCATCAATCTATAGCATTACCCCCAGATACTATTCCCAAACTTGCTGCACTTGAGTTTGAACAGTATGGCTAATACAAGGCAGGAGGTTTTCTCCTGGTTTTCCTTAATATTACTGAAAGCTTGTCCTTTAATAACATTATAGCCTAATTAAAAACTAATTTGTAACAAATACACCTCAAACACTAATCAACAACAAGCAAATTGCACTACAATCTATGTTAGGATTAAGTATGGATGGAGAATCAAAAACCAGTATACCATAAAAGGGCTGACCTTAAAAAAAACTTTTGTCAAATACATCTTTAATATACAGAAACTATTTTATCACAAATATATATATTTGTAGCTAAGTAAATACAATTTAATTCTTACAGAAATGTGGAGGTCTTACCTTATCCAATCTTTTCTGCCAGCTCTCCTCACGTTTTACCATTAGCTCAATACAATGGGAAAGTGTTGCAAGGATTCCAGCGGTTGTTGCCTTGAAAGTTATAGCTTCTCCTTTAAAGTCTATGCCATTTATGCCTTTGGGCGTTACATATGGAAACACTAAAACAAACAGATTACAGTTTTATCAGTACCAACCTCAGTTACTCAAATAAATGTACCTCAACTGTAACACACAGGCTGCATGGAGTTAAAATCAGTGTCCATGACAGTTTGTCTGTTTGCAAGTATATGGAAAACTCAGTAAGAGAAACATCCTTCTTCAACTATCACTTTAATGTATTATCTCAGTTCTTCTGTGCTGAATAACTGCATTGAAAAAAAAAATCATGTGGGTGGCAAGAGTGGTAATACTCTTGTAACAATAGCACGTTGACAGCTTGAAGTGGGACTTAATTAAAACAGAACCACCTTAAAGCTTGGCAGATGCAGAATTTCAAAACCAACAATTAACATGCCTTTGAATCTAATTATGAGCTGTTAAAGAGTGTCCTAAAGAAAGTGATAAGGTTTGGAATGATGTCCCATGAAATAGAAGGGCAGTATTTGAATATACCTAAACAGCTAAATTTTCCTTAGCTACAGTACTGTTGAATACCTCATACTGCACCAGCCATCTGTTGCTAAGCATGTTTAAATAAAAGTGATCTATTTAAAAGTATAGGAGACAGAACATTATAAAAATACATCAACATATATTAAGGATAGTAAAACATATTATTCAAATCATGTCAGGTGTGGACATACTAAGATTGGAGTTGTCATCATAGCACAGTGTACAGAGCTTTCCAAACATCTATTAGAGCCAATATAAAAGTACTGCAAAAAAGTTTATTTATAATCTAAATAAATAACCTATGACAGGCAACTGAAACCAATCTATTGCATGATACTATTTGACAGTGTTGAAAAAGCTTCATGTCTACTTGTAATAACAAGTACTTGAGGACTGTCTAGTGTTATTAGTTGAAACACAAAACCCAACAGATAAGGCCACTCAGTGATTTCATTTTTGAGGCAAGACCTGAAATTTCTTGGAATATTCTTAGAAGTTATCATAGGACATTGGCTGACGTAGCTTTATAAAAGATGAAGCATAACTATGCTTTATCTGTCAGCATAACAATGCAGTAGAAGCCAGAGTATTAAAAGATAATTTGCATGACTGAACAGGTTGCCGTGGCTCATATGGACCACAAAGGGATGTGGCACATGCTGGCATGGGTGGGTGGCCATTTTTAATATTCAATATTATGCTGCAGCTTGCTTAGTACAAACCCAAGTGGTGAAGTTCATTCAAAGGTGAAACAAACAATAAACCACAGATATTACATATGCAAATCCCACTCACCATGTGAAACAGGTCTAAGACTTCTGCCTTTAGGAGTAATGTATCATACTAACTGCTTACTCAGGAAAAAGAAGTGACAGTCTTGGCATGTTCTGCTCAAGCAGTTTTTAATTAAAGAAAAGTAAATTAGCCAAAAAGTCCATTATATTTCTGCTTCTTTTGAAATTCTTCTAACTGATCAATGATTACCTAAAATTTTCAAGAAGTAGCTATTCATTTGTTTTAAAATGTGAACAGTTAACAGAAGGCAGTGCTTTCAGAGGACATTGCTTCAAGTCTTCTCATAACTTCTATTTGTAAACACAACACTATTCAACGTTTTTGTGCTGTTTGAATGTTCAGCTTAAACTAATACTAATGATCAGACACATTATTCTGCTGGATCAACAGCAGAAAGCAGCATGGGAAGACAAACAAGACTATACACGGAATACTCATGTCTTTCTAGTTTATCCAGCTTTTCGAGCTGAGTGAATAATGACATTTCACAAGCCTCCCAGTTTCCACCCCCCTCTATCCAGGCAAGTGACACATTCCTACAGCTCCAGATATAAAAAGAGAACAGAGAGATCAAGATGGAACTATTACTGCATCATCATTAATTAACTTAATTTTCTGCATGGTTTTACTGGTAGATTTGACCTGACTCAAAAGCTCCCTTTGCACACAAGGGTTCCGCATAAACAAGAGATGCCCTATTCTTTGGAACACCAGGGACACCTGTGTGTGTATATGTACACTGTGCATGCTATGATGCCTCTGAGAAAACAATAAATAGGCAAGTCAGTCCTTACGGGGGCTCCATAAATGCTTTGGCTTTTAGTAACTGATTAACACACACACACACATACCCCCAAAATAAAAGTATGCGTGTGTTAGAAAGACTGGCATATAATTATAGTATAGGGTTTAGGTGGGAACTTTAACTGTTTGCCCCCACTCTGGTCCAAATACAATCAGCAAACACAGAGTAATTCCAAATGAGCTTTCCTCCCTTTGTGAAAAGCTGGCACTGCATGGGGCATGCCAAGTTTGATCCAGATTATGGTAGAGGCAAATAGTTATGCCCTATATCTGACCCAGCTGAGGCCGCCTTCCACTGACAATTTCTGCCTGCCTGCCTGCATCAGCTATTCACAGCTGGACCACATTACAAATATCTAGTTTGGCTAAAATAATCATGGAAAGGTCTATGGTTAGGATAAGAGATATATGACCCCCTGATAACATTTCCTTATTAGAAAACTATTTCATATTGCCTCTAGAAGAGATGTTGTCTCCAACTGTCTCTGAACACATATAAAAAGCTTTAGCACCTTGGAGAGAAGTGCTGGGGCAGTTACAACACAGGGAATCACAAACTTTGGCCAGTCTTTGTAGCCAGCCACTATTTGTGGTGGCCATTGATTCTTTCCCATTGGGAGAAGATGCCTGTCAGGCTTCAGATACACTGAGAAGTATCAAAGGCTTGCTGCTTCTGAAGGTTCCAGAACCCAGTATGAAGTAACACTGGCCTCCCTCATAAGTTCTCTGAATATGAATAGAGAACTCAAGGGAAAGTGGAGTCTCTTCTACTCAACAAGGAGAGTGTCTCTCTCCATACATGCACTCCAGGAATAGATGGTCATCAGCAAGCAATTTACTTCCATAGTTGGTTATCTGGCAATCACAATTGTGGACACTTAGTATGACTTGAAACCAAGCACTAGAACAAACTATATACACACAAATTAATGGAAACAGGTATCTCCAGATGAACTATAAAACGGTTGGGTAGGTGGTGTGATGTCTGTGGACACAAATATGCGCTTGAAACACCTTATATGGCTCTCACCAAGGTGACCTAATCCTACTTTTTTGATTTCCTTCTAAACAAAATTAACACATTTTCTTACTAGCAGTCAGAATTATTTCAAGGCTTAAGTGAGGCTCTTTCAGCTGCATATGTTTCATAGGAATGCCTCTGGGTTGTACATGGGGCTCAGGGGTATTTTGAGAAAAGAAAAATAATGGGCGGCTGCATCAGCATCCCAAACAAAAGAAATAGAGAAAAGAAAAGGTGATCCATGTTACAGGCAGGGGCCAGGAAGTCAGGAAAGCCAAAAGGAAGTCTGTGTTTAGGGAAGGTAGTGGAAAGCCAGCGTGCTACTTATAGAGCTTGCTAGCAGCAACGTGGGGCTTTGGGGACAGTGGCATGCTAGATTATCTGAATGGGTGAGTGCTTGGTGTGTCTGAGAAAGGAAGAATTTAGTTGTGATCCAGAGAGAGAGCAATTTTGGAGGGATTACAAAGAGTGAGTGGTTTCCTTTTGCTCTTTCGCTGAAGAGAAGGGAGGGAGTGAATGCACATACGTGTGTGCGCATGAGTGAGCGAGCTGATAAGCTGGACTGTTGTGACTAAGGAAACCTTTGATCTGGAAAACTGAGTTAATTTTGTCTGTTGCGGTTCAGACACCACCTCAACTTTTGTACTTGGCCTTTTTGCCAAGTTGTTTTTTCTTGGTAAAAAGCCATACATCCCATTTTGTAGAGGTGACCAGGACAATTTTTCAAATGCCCAGATGTGCTTACTAGTCCATAAATGTTGGAGCAAACAAAACAAAAACCAGAAGAGAAGCACCAAAATTGAACCTGACATATTTCAGAATTAAGGGCTCCTTCATTGGGCAATCCACAGAGAAAAAACAATCTAAATTTGACAAAAGTGCAATTGTCTGAGGGGCCACAGGATTATGTGAAGTCCCCGACCTGTCCCCTTGTAGCCAACACAGAAAGAACCATACCATCTGTAGCGCCAAGGCGAAAAACAGATCTTGGGCTAAAGGGCAGGGAGGTGAGGAGCCTGGAGCTGATTGCCTACAGTGCCTTACACTGTATCCAAACAGCAGCCCATTGTCTTTCCCCACTCTGGTGCTTCATCTAGATAGCTGAAAACAGCTGTCTAGATGGCATGCAGGGTGTGAGGCATGGATAACAGAGATGGCTGCTGCTTCATTTCACATCCTATATTGGAGGCACATAAGTCCATACACAGAATGAGTAGATACACAGAACCGTGCCACAAGTAAACCAACAAATAAGCTTTGGTTTGGTTGAACAAGGTTCAGTTGAATAAACCATTTAAATTATAGACTCTTAAAAAGTTTTTTAAAAGCCCAAACAAAACTAAAATTCTTGTAAAATACTATCATTGGTACAAAAGGAAGGGACATTGTAAGGCATTCAGGGGTGACCTTCTATTTTCTGGCTTAGAAGCAGAGAGTTACAGGTTAAAATGGATGATGCAGGGCGCAATGCCAAACTTGTAAGGTCAATCTTCAATTGAGTCACATTTTCACTTATTAAATGAAGTGATGTTGCAGCACTAAGCTGTATGTTAACAAAATATGCCAAGGCACAGATACCAATATGCAGGGCTGGCTGTCATCTGAATTCCAATGGTTCTCATCTCCTAACAACTTCTCTCAATGATTTTATGCAGATGTTAAGTAGCATAGGAATCGGGATAAATCCTGGAACACAGGGTAATTGCTATTCACCAGTACTGTGTGCTGAAACCTCCCCACAAAGTAAGAATGTAGCCACCAAAATGTAGGGTGTCCATTCCCCAGTATAGGAAAAACTCAAAATCCATGTTACTTATTTTTCTTAAGTCAACAAAAACATCACAAAGAAGTGCCAGCTTTTGAGATCCCTGTATTTCTTCATCAGGCAAGATTTTGCAAAAAACTGGCTGTGGAAAGGGCAGGGGCAGGGGCAGGGCGGGTAGGGAGCTGACTTTATACCAGTCATGTGTCTGCATGATATTGAAAAGAAATATGGGAGAAAGGGCCTGCAGACATTCAAATAAGGCTTTTAGCAGGTGATGTTATGGTTTCTGCTTTTACCTGGAGCTACTGGAATGAAAAAGTGGAAAGGTTTGATCCTCAATTTTTGAAAAAAAATAAAATCTAGGTGTTACACTGAAATGTCTCCATTTTGGGCAAAGAACACAGGCTCCTTTACCAGTGAATATGAAGAAGAGGTAGGCAGTCTTTATAATAATAAAGCTAGAAATTATTTTAAATAATGCATTAGGTAAAAGCAGAGAAGGAGCTAAATTGGGTAGCTTTATGTAGTAGATGGAGGGGAAACATGCTTGGTGAATAAAAGTCTCAGTTTCAGATAGTCTAAGAACTTATTCCTACAGTGTAGGATTCCACTGTTGAACAGCTAAATTTGGTAAGCAAGTCATACAAAAAGCAAAAGAAGCTATTTTGGTCACAAGAAAAACTGTAAAATCCATTGTGGAATTTAGAAACCTCCAGTTTCCATATTTTTGTGTTCTTCTGGTTGGCTGATAATTACATTAATATGAATTTGAGAATTTTTCTTAAGGGCAACATGGCCATGTCTATTTTGGTTTTTTTTAGTTGAGCAAGAACAAGCAAAGTCATATTCAGTGGGAGAGGGCACTCATGAATGATCATGTCAGCTTCCAAATAATTCCCCAAGTTCCAGAAACAGACAATATCTTTGGCAGAACTGCAGACAGGCCAGCAAGAAACCAGCACTTGCCTGATGAGTATCTGCTGTTTTATATGCAGGTTATGTCTTATCTGTAGTTTCAGCCTTTGTTCTATTTAATGTATAGCGTTTGCATTTTATGACACTGTGCTTTTAAAGTATTGTTGTAAGCAACAATACTGCATAGGAGCTATAATGGCAAAATAGTAATGTGTAAATAAACTACTTTGCTTAAACGGAAAACAGACCAGATTGTTACCTAAAATTTCCAAGGAAGTTACCACAAAGAAAGCTAGTAAAATAAAACAGTTTTGAACAGTAAAATAAAAAGGAATGATGACATTAAAAAGGGACAGTAAGAAGAAGCTCAAAGATTGGTTTCCTGGCACTTCCAAGTAAGATGAGCTCAATCATTCCATTATTTACCAACCCATGGCATGTAAAGCAACAGAATACTGAATTCCATAGCTGCAATTTTATACCCACTTAGCAGGACAAAAGTCCTATTGAATTCAATAGGACTACTTCATATGCATAAGATTCGATTGCAGGACTCTGTAGAAGTATTAGTATCATTTTAAAATGTTACTTGAGTAGAAACAATCCAACAACAATTCAAATGTAAATATTTATACATTTATATTAGTTTCTTCAGAATAAGTACTTATAACTGTTCCTGTACATAACATTTTGATCATCATGCATTTAATGGTACTCACATTTTTCTTTACTTCCATTACTGTTATGCAAAAAGTCCCCATCAGAGCGTGTAGTAGGAAAATCATCTTCATCATCTTCTACCACTGTAACAAAGAAATAGACCTATTAGTGACCATAGCAGATAATCTGAAGAGCAACAAATAAATGATTCACTAGTAATAGAGGTAGATTCTATGTAGGAAAAAAAACATGGACACTACTACACTGTTGCAACTGCAAGCTTTTAAACACTACATATATATTTGTGAGAAAGTTAACACTGGAGGAAATTCAAATCCTGAAGGTGATGGTGATGGCTAACTGGGGTATGCCAAGACAACAGTCCAACAAGGCAGTTAAGGTATCTTTATTTATTTGCTCAAATGTTGTGCTGGTTTCACTGTGTGAATTACTCCACAACTTCATATATTAAAAAATTCTGAACCTTTAGATCCTCTGTGAAAATAAAAGCACCTTCACTGACCTCATTCCTACTTTTTTTACAAGCGTTACTGACTGAATTGAAAATTGTCCAGTTACATTAAACTGTCAAACCAAAATATGAAAATTCCTTCCAACTCAGTCATGTTAGTAATACTTTAATTAAGGTTGCATCTTATCCTCAACTACTTATGTATGAGGTTCAGTAACATGGGGTCTTAATTCAGAGTAACTGTGCATAGAATAAAAGGATGGAACTCTTACTGTGACAGCTGAAGAGTTTGCCAAAAATAATTTAGCAACTAGACCCTAGAATAGAATATGATGCCTTTTATTTTAATGTTATTCTATGTTGTTTATCTTTTTTGTAAGCCATCCCGAGGCTTTCTGCGATGGGGGCAGCATAAAAATGCTATAAATAAATAAATAAATAAAATATTTAAACAAATTTAGGTGAATACCTTTATCTCGCTGAAGTTCATCCTTGGAGACAGCATCAGCACAAGCATCAAAGTATTTCTGTAGTGTATCGACCTGCCTACATAATATATCTCTGAAGGTTTCCATTTCAGCAAGTTTTTCACGCAAACTGTGACCCTTCTGAAAATGTAGGTTAAAAGAAATAATTCAGGTGCTACCATTACCAACTTATCCAAACTATAGGTTTACATTTCTTTTTATAAGATATGCCTGTAATTTGGAATATGATATTTTTGTAAGGCTATATGGGCAAAGCAACATTATTGGCTATGCTGTATTAAAGCATTAGATTTGGGTGCCATGCTCAATACATTTTTAAACTGATAAATTACTAGGCTGAATTTAGGAAATCTTGATAGAGTTTGACCAATAGCACTAAAGTTGCTTAAGTATATGATGTAACTGGCTTTTGAATTTCAACCAAAGTATTACAAGTTACACGTAACTAGATAGTATAAATGGCATATGTATTTAATTAAAAGAAATACAAAGTATAAAAGTAGCCAAAAATCAGATTGCACTGTCTCACTTGAACAGGTCTTCTGTTGATTAAAATGATCAAGTCCAAAGACTTATTGTAAACATACATGTTTTCTTCATCTATTTTACCACACCTACTGGACCACTTGAATTGTCCATACTACTTGTTTATTTGCCATTATTCAATAAGCTCTATCTATTCTATACACAAACTTGCATACTTCTTCAAAGAGGGATATGCACATACTTGGCAAACTTGACTATTTAAACAGCAACCCCCCACACACATTTTTTCTAATGCTGTTCTAAGGTTAATGCTACAGTAGCTCAAGGGGTTAAGCAACCACAAGGTGCAGAAGTCTTATAGAGCTCTTTCATATTTTCCCAGCAGTAGGCAAACAGACAGGCTGTCTCTGTCCACAACAGCTAAATAGACAAAAGGCCCATGTTCCTTCAGAAGGAACTACTGCAGCAGAAATGACAGAGAATGCTATTCATGCAAATAATCCCTGAGCCCGTACATTAGTTGTTACCATGGAAAATTACAATATTGGTGAACTCTGAATATGGGCTAAATATTCTTCACAGCAGTGTCAAGCGTTTTCAGTGATTACCTTATTTAACAATTTCTAAACATAATCAAATAGGTTTTCCTATGGTCTCTACAGTGTCCCATCACTAACCTTGAACGATGAGGTTGATGTTGCGGAGTACCCACTTGCTCCAGACACAAGGGATACCATGGAGCCATGGCGCCGTAAGCTTGACTCTGATCCATAGCCAGATTCAGTCTGGAGGAGTGGGGAAGCATGCATTAATTATGAAATTATAGGAAGCAAATCCTTATCAAATAGATTTCTCGAAACTGATATTCCCAAGACAGAATTGTGGCTTCGAGAAAGACATCCAAATAACTGCATACAATTTCAAATGAATCAGGGATCCAATACTAAGTATTTGTTGTAGGAAGGAAAAAAACTGATTCTTTTAAACTGCAAAATTAATCAATCCAAATTTGTTTCCACAGTTTACCCAAAGAAAAGGTAAACAGTAAGAACAATGTAAAGCAACATTGCTTTGATCCCTCAAGATCAAAGATCCCTAAAGTTAACTAGGCAGCTAAGGGGAGGGAACATTCCCCGCTCCACTGTTCCTCCCTTCAACCCCAGCTCTGGCCTCTGCTTTTCCCTCTATAACAGCAGAGACGTGACTAAAAAGCTGGGAGACATCTTCTGTCCTAATTGACAGTCAGCATTTTGGCCTATTCGGGCTTCAGCCATCCAAACAGTAACAGCAGTTTCAACAAATAACCGAAGATTGTTCACAGGAAGCATGCTGAAGTTAAACACAGCTAAGGGCATGGAGGCCCACATTATATCTTATGTGATGCAAAACATTTGACATAATCATTAAAAACAAGAATGTTGAATACAGTCATCAGATCAAATACCTCATAACTATAGGGGCATATCTGTCATTTAATGCAACTTCCATTATTTTTTGTGCTGTTTGATGATGTGGCTATTAGATAAGCCATCAGTTCTTTTACTTGAAGGGACTTTTACTTGAAGGTAAAAAGTTTGCTACTTGGTTCTTGAAGCAATTTTCAGTGAAGCAATGCACAACTATGAACTTCTGTTAAATCTTTCAAATGTAAAATATTTAAATAAATTAAGCACTTATAAAACATAAGAGCAACCATATTTTATAGCCCTCAGAAGAAAAATGTATACTATGAGAACAGCAAGAATTGAATCCAAATACAAAATGGATTAATTCCATAAAGGAAGCCGCAGCCTTGAGTTTAGAAGAGCTGAGGGAGTCCATCAAGGACAGGACATTTTGGAGGGCATTAATTCATAGAGCAGCCATAAGTCAAAGGCAACTTGACAGTATGCACAACAAGTGAATAGCCACTTAGTTAATGCCTGTCCTGAAAAAGATTGTATAATATATCTTAAACTGTCTAGGGAGTAGTGGAAGAAGTAGGTTAAGGGGTAACATATAGGGTTACACAGTAACCCACCCTGTGAACATGCAGTGTTGATCATGAAATAATCCATGGTGTCCTGATAGGCCACTGGGATCACCAGTGGCGCTGTTTCCTTTTCCACTTCCTTCTCCCTTGGCCTTCCTGCCAGTATCCTAATGGACTCAGAAGCTGAATCGTTCCTGTGTCCTCCCTCTGCTTTGATCACACCCCCCCCTTTTTGGAAATTGCTTTTTGTGATATCCAAAGTGATGGGAACAGCCAGTGACAACCACTGTGAAGTGTCCAACTATTCCAAAAGTGAAGCGTTATCTATTCTAAGTGTCTTCTGTCAAAGATAATCATATACTGACAAAGTTAGGCTTTAAATATATAACTTTGCTTTCACTTGAGAGCGGTCAAATGGTGAGCTGTCAAGTGTAAATCAAAGTTGTGAGAAGGTAATTGCTTGCAAAAGGGGGTGACCCCTATATTATCCCTTTCACAGATTCCACTAGATTTTATGGTTAGACCTGAGAGATTTCAGAATCTTCCACCTTTTCTGAGCCCTTAGGTCCCCCAGAAGCTCAGGAAAGCAGAAAAGAACAGCCCATTCCATTTATGGGTACAGCTTTTGAGAGCTGTCAAAAATACCTTTTAAAGCATATTTTTGACAGGGTTAAGCAGGGTGATTTAAAACAAGGGTAAAAATTCACATATGTCCCTGTTAAAAATAAAAATATGCCTTCACTTGCAACTCAGCCATGAAATCTGCATATATTTCTCTGCCAAAAAATTGGGCAAATTTCTCCCCCTAAAAAATTCCATGTTGCAAAATGAGGTGCAATGAATGCCTCCCCCTCCACACAAAATGACCCTGTTACTTCTTCCCAACAAGATGTCATTTCAGCTTTTAAGAGCTGACAAATCTCAGTAACAAGTCTGAGAAGGAGCCACAAGGAGAGAGTAGTCTTAACATTTTTAACTAGTCCCCAAGATCAGAATTCACAGGAAGTCAGAGAATACACATAAAAATCATTATTCTCCCCTCCCCCAAAATGAACTATTTGAAATCTGGAGGACGCTGCCCACTTTTAAAGACCCTCGGAAGATATGACTTCTTCTGTGCTAAGGCAACTTGTATCATTTAAGAAAGCAGTTTGGCAGAAACTTCCAAGCACAAAATACACTGTCTTAGGAGCCATTAGCATGATGATAAATAAGGACCGAAGTGTTTAAGCTGTCATTATGCGCCAGTGTTTTTATCCAATCTGATTTAAGTGAAGCCAGCTTGTTTGACAATGGATATAACACTGCAGACATAAGTACCTTATGTTCCTCCCTTTCCATCATTATCTTGCCAGAAAGACCACTGTCACATACACTATTCCGTTCAGATCAACTTGCTGAATGCAATCCGAAACAGAATACAGATTTACATGAGTATATTTTATTCACAGTCTTTTCCACCACTATTGACTGGCACTCTTAACTGTATTTTCAGGATTCAAAGTATATAGTATACTGGCAAACTGCTTAATTTTACTGAAGAGTGGAAAAACAGAACAAATTGTACAATGTCATCTGCCCCAACACAGCAGAGTATACTATGCAGTGGCTGCATATTTCATGACAAGCTATTACAAAGAAAGAATTATATTTTAGTTACTACTACAAAAACTAGCTAAATCCAGAGTGTGGCAGTTTAGCTTAAAAAAGAGAAAAAGCAAAGATTATTAATAATGCACAGAGATTTGTACAGAAGATAATTTTTACTTGCAAAAAAGGCATGCAGAGGGTAGGGGGGGAATGAAAACAAGCATCATGCGAAGCCCCACCATTCTATTACTGCAACATCTAAGCCAGAGCAGATCAATGCCACACTTTTTATGTCTTGCAGAACAGGTCATTAGCAATTCACTGCAGAAATAGCTCCGTTATAACTCAGATGAAAAATGATGATGATACAAAATCTTCCAGCGCAAGTATGAATTTGCCAAGGCTGCTAAACGACACAGAGGCACCCAAAGTCTATTCAACAGAAAAAAGACAGTCACCACCCTGAAAAGAATTGCTTGCTGTGGTTGTAGCAATCAAAACATAAACATTAAACACAAATGCCAGTTACCATGCTGAACATCCAGAAGCCATTTCACCAGATATCCATGCATGTTGTATAGCCCCAAAGCTATACTCAGAACTGACAGTGTAAGCACACTGCAACATCTTCACTAGCTTTTTGCATTTCTGAACAGCATCCATTATTCCTTTCAAAAAGCTCTTTCATAGGTTGACAGTACAGAGGAGAACATCACATGCTCCTGAGCCTTGTGTAATATCTTGATGGTGGAGGCAATGGTGTCTGTGGGCAGCAAGAGAACAGCATTCGGCAACACAATAGCTAAGTGTATCCAGTCTCAAATTAGCCCTTCATGGCTGACTCAGTCGTCTGACAGGGATTTCCTTACAGAGCCAGCAGCGCTTCAGAGAAAAAGCACAGGCTTACAGGAAACATCACTTGGTCCTGTGCCCTGGGTTCCCCATATTTACATAGATTAACTTTAATCTGCCATGCAGCTCAAACACTCCCCCACTGAAACACATTTTTCTGAGCTTGTCCTATATATTGCATAATAGTGACAAGAGAGCAGTTACTCTTTTCTGATTATAAAGCCACACCCAGGAATGGAGAAGTAGCAGAACAAACACACTACAGATACTAGTCACCAACTGTATGCAAAACTGTTTATATGTAAATACTACTTTATTAATATCAAGTTTTAAAGGAGACAACAGAAAACTAAGCAGCACCAAAGTGGGAGAACAATACTGAAGGAGTAAGCAAGGGAGAAGCACAGGAAAAAGACTAAGCAAGCAAGCATTGGAAAGCAAAAAACTACAATATCTACCATGCAACAAATATTATCACAGAAAAAGTGAGTCAAACTCTGCACACATGTTACTGGAGATATACTGCTGTATGATTTAAAGCCAGGTAGTATATGGCTCAAAGAGTTTAATAAAAATAAATAAAAATTATTTATTTAAAATGAAAATAAAGTTTCATACACCTTGGGTCAGATGAAAGGCAATGTTTCCAAAGCCACCAGGAAGAAGAGGGGGAATAGGCATGGCAGAATCCTCATTCAAGAATCAGTCCAAAACAACACTAAGGAGATAGAGGTGTCACAAGAGTAGTCTAGTGTCTATTCAAATGACCAAGAAAGATAAAAGTAAAGTTAAACCATCTGTCCATCTAGCTCAGTATTGTCTATTTCAGCATCCCTCAACATGGGTCCCTAAAGAGGATTTGCCCGCAATTCCCTTCAGCCTTGTCTATGGACCTTGTTGGCTGGAGACAATGAATGTTACAAATCAAAGCTTCCAGAGGTGAGGAATGATTGGTTTATTATTGGTCAGCAGCAACTCCCCATGGTTTGAGACAGGTTTTTCACTGGCCTTGCCTGGAGGTGCCAGGACTGAACTGTGACCTTCTATACGCAAAGCGTGCGTCCTGCCATTGAACCATGGGCATTCCCCAATCAACCTGAGACTACAGAAGCAGACTTTTAAGATAGGCATGGACCGCTGATGTGACTTCAAAGCAGATAGCAATATTACGTAATTTTGGTTTGTAAAGTAGGCTGGTTCTGACTTTACTGTAATGAGAGAACAGTGCTCCAATTGAATATGCTTTAAAAAACCAGTACTCAGAAGTGAAGGCTAGTTATATGTGCTTAAATCTTGCAGCAGCATCCTTTCTTCACAAGTACACAATGGAATCTGGAATATGCAATGGAGTCTGGAAGAAAGTAGGCTTTG